CCATTTTGAATTAATTTTTCTGTATGGTGTGAGATAGTGATATAGTTTCATTCTTTTGCATATCACTGTTTAGTTTTCCCAACACCATTTGTTGAAGAGACTTTCCTTTCTCCATTGTCTACTCTTGGCTCCTACAATATAAATTAACTGTCAGTGTAAATGTGGGTTTCCTTGTGGGCTCTCAGTTCTATTCTATTAATATATGCATCTGTTTTTAGTCCAATACCACATTGTTTCACTTACTATAGTCTGGAGTATAGTTTAAATATGACTTCAATAATTTTAGGTAGAAAATCTGGGAGGGTAATGATTATTTATTCATTTTTGAGCCAAGTGAAACCCATACTATTAAATTAGCCTTCTCTTTCAGGCTGGGGTCTACGGACCAACTCAGGAAGATTTTCAAGGCAGGCATACTAAGCACCTTTCTTCAGTCAATATACATAATGTCTGCTGGAGCTTGATGGAGCCCCAGAAGTAGCACACAGACCTACCACTATTTTCTGGCCAACTCTACACAGCCAGTATCTATATGCCTGTGGCTATGATCTTTTCTGAAGTCTGCTACTCTACACAGCATGCCAGAAGCACCAGGAGATTAATACCATCCTCTCAGCCAAGCAGCTCTCATCCAATAATTTTTGGGAGTTGATATTTAAATGGTTTAGTTTTATCAGCACTTGAGTGGAATGATTCTGAGAGATGTGTTTTTCATCAATTCCCAGGTTCCCCATAGGATTAAGTTCCAGTTGTGCACTGTGGTGGCTGCTGTAAGGGTTAGAGCATGCCACCCCAAAATATGCCTCTCTGGCATACTGATTATTTTGGGTTAAAGGCATTAAAAAATAGCAAATACAAGAAGGGCAACTATGACTTTCTTCATTTCTCCTTGAAGTAGGTGATAAATACTACCCTGTGAAAGGTGAGGTCTCCTCTGTACCAGCAGAAAAACATTTTTATCACTATAGATGGGACATTGAGGATAGCAGAGGCCCCTTTCTCCATATTCTTATATTCCACACTACTGTTCTCTTCTCTGCACTTTCTAGAAACCATGTGTGTTCAGGACAAGAAAAAAGGCATCTAATAGAAAGATACAAAATAGGGCCTCCCTGGTGGCGCAGGCAGTTGAGCGCAGTGCTGTGAAGCTGTCTGAGCCTCCGCAGTACCAGTTCAATCCTGGCCGGCAGCGGAGCAACCCACATGGCGCAACAGACCTCTCCTGTCTTGCCTGCTGCTCCCCTCAGCAGTGTATTTCGTCATTCTACCGGTTCTGTTCCCTGCTCTGTCTCTGGTGAATCCTCTCACCCTCCCGCACATCTGGCCTGTATCCCGGTTCTTGTATAAATAAAATAAATCTTTGGGAAAAAAAAAAAGAAAGAAAACAAAGATACAAAATACATTGTAAAAAGGAAAAACACAGGTAACAAACTGAACCACTTCCGATCATGCTATTGCTAACCCTGGATTTCCCACTATCAACAGCAATTTCAAAGTACAGTTAAATAAATCAGAGAGTTTAATATGCAATTAATCCTATAATCCAGATTGGCTATTTTAAACCTTTAGGGCACCAATGTTACATGGAACTCTTCACAATCCATACAGAGCGAGCTTAAGCACAATACAAAAGGCTATGGGCCTTAAGAACAAACCAGTGATTGGAATAGTAAAGGAAACTTAGAAACTCGCCTCCGCGTTCTCTGTTCATCTGCTTCATCTATTTCTCTGTTTCTTCATCTATTTCTTCATCTATTTCATCTGTTTCCCTTTCTATATGCTTACCACTAGCACCTTACAAGGTTACATTGTATTGTGCCGAGAGAACGAAAGAGAAGCTGATTTTGTCTGCTTACCTTGCTCTTTCCTTCTCTCCTACCAGCCTCTTCTAAAATTCCCAGAAAAAGACCTGATCCTTTTTGGGTCAGGCACCTATACCAACGCTATCATTTGTTGAGAGAAAGCAGTATGACTTGGTAGAAAATTTGCCGTGAGTTCTCCCAAATCCAATAGAATGGAAGAAGGGATATTCCCAGAAAATGGGTATTGACAAACAACCAAATAGACTCAACTCAGAAGTCATGAATCTGTTTGAGAAGCCAATGAAAATATCAGACCTTCATAGCAATATGTACACATTCACAAACACTGAATGGTATTTGTGATTACTTGAGGTTGTTCATGAAACTCCTATAATCCACTCTTAGATTCTAATTTTCAAACTTGCTATATTCATCTAGATTTTTCAATATTTCAAACACTCTAATTTTTTTTTAATTTTAAATTCTGAGTATGAAATTATATTCAAAGATTTTTCAATCACAACAAATATACATAATAAAACTAAATTAAGTCAAGGGAATGCAACATAGAAGAAGCATGGACTAGGTTGAAAGGGTTATCAGTCAAATATCAATTGGTGTCTATTTTCATCAAATGGTGACGACAGGGCAGCCCCCCCACATTTTTTTAAATTACAGTTGGAATAGTTTCCCATAGTATGTTCCAAACATGATCAAACATTTGAGGCATATGTAACCGATTTAAATCATAACATGAAGAGATGTATAAAGTGAATCAAATCATTAGTAGGTTCCAGTCCATTGCTACTCATGATGGTCTAGAAAAAAAATTATATATAGTGCAATAAAAAGTTTTTATACAGCTATTACTGCATATCATTTTACTTCAAGCAAAGTCAGACAAATTCTGACAATGAAAATAAGCTAGGGAAAGAAAATAAAAAATAAATGCCTCAAATCTATTATCAACAGGTGAGCTATAAATAAAAAATTATATGAAAGTCAGAAAACCTATATCCTTTGATAGTTGTTAAGAAGCAGTCAATGATACTAGCAGTACATCCTTAACCTCTGAGAGCATATAATGGAAGGAAATGGCTATATTCTACCACAAAACGTTCTTAAATTACAGGAAAAGAGAAACTACTAGACTACAAAGAATAATGGTTTAACAGAGAATTGTATTTCTCAAAAGTTCTTTAAACATATATAAAAGGGGGCTTGCAAATAAAGTATTATATCCTTGCATTTGATTTACAATATATCTTGTATAAATTCCATATATGAAAATGCAGAGTATTATCTTTACTGATAACATTTTATCAATATGCAGTATTTATGCAATATCCAAAAGAGAATCTAATTTCCTGAATATCTGAATATATAAAACTGATGAAAGCTAAAATGAAATACCACTGAGAGCATGATTACATAAAATGAACTCCAAAGGAAAAATTCCTACAATGTACTGAAAATTTTTGTATAAACTATAGTAGGAAACAATATGACACTCATATGAGATTAAAAAATTATTGTCTATGTGAAAGTTCTGTACTAGTACCATTTTTTGTAAACAATATTAAACCTAAATTCAAGGCCAACACATAAAGTCCAAGACTAGTCAGTAATTACATTTTCATTTAGAAATTTCTGTACTTAAAATACTTTCCAGAAAGTATTTTTAAAATGACAAATATTATCTACTTTTCATTCATGGCTTTAACGTGAGTAGTTTTTAACATTCTCAGGAGACCCCAAAATTCCATAATAGATAGTAAACTGTAATTTTAGTTGAGTCACACATTTTACTTGGATACACTGAAAGACTGGTTGGTTCTGAAAGAGTTGTTACTAAAACTAGTAACAGAGACATAAACTGTCCCAGTTTATGTGACATCTGTATTTTTCTCTGCTCATTCTTGAATAACTTTCATGTAATACTTTAAGCAAAAGTTTAAAAATGTTATTCAGGGCCTCCCTGGTGGCGCAGGGGTTATAGTCTCGGCACTGTCAAGCTATCATCAGTCACTGCTGCTTGAGCTCGATCCCCGGCCAGGGAACTGACCCACATGGTGCAGCAGACCTCTCCTATCTCGCCCACTGCTCCCCTCAGCAGTGTATTTCAGTAGATCTGCCTGTTCTGTTCCCCATTCTGTCTCTGGTGAATCTTCCCCCACACCCCGCACCTCTGGCCTACACACCAGTTTTTGTATGCATAAATAAATAAAATAAATCTTAAAAAAAAAAATTTCTTCTTTTTTTTATAGCTATGTTTAAAAAAAAAAAAAAAAGATTTATTTATTTATTTATACAAGAACTGGGGTAAGTCAGAAGCGTGGGAGGGTGAATTCACCAGAGCCAGAGCAGGGAACAGAACAGACAGACCGACGAAATACACTGCTGAGGGGAGCAGACCCTCGCCAGCGGCCGGGAATCGAACCTGTACCGCAGAGGCTGCGGGCAGCTTCGCAGCCCAGCGCTCAACCGCTGCACCACCAGGGGAGGCCCCTTAAAAAATTTTTTTTCATACTTCATTTTTTTAATATGGGAAATGACATGACAGCAGATTCTGCAAATATGTGTACTCACAAAGTAAGGTCTCTGGATGTTCCTAATTAGAAAGTCAAAGTGTTTAAAGGCAACTCAGGAGGATGCAAGGGTTTGGGACTGTCTACAGTTTCATCACAATCAAACAGGATGTTCAATAGGCAGAACTGACAATTCTAGGACTCAGATTCTGCTACTAAATTCTAGTATGACTTCTCATTAAATCAAAGTCAATGTATATCAATTACCTCGCCAGAGAATGAGAGAAAATACTGCCTTCTGAACACTAAAAGGATGATATCATACAAAATTCATCTAAATTCTCTTACATGAATTTCAGAACTGAGTAGTTATTCGTACAAATATTTCACCAGGACAGTGTTAGGCACTGGATGCAATATACAACTGTAGTTAAGTTGCAGGCCCAAAACATAAATACCACCTTCTTAATTTATAACAGCATCCTAATAATTATCAGGGAAGAAACTCTTAGTCATGTTTCACCCATATTCCTTAGTTTCATCTTCAAATAGTCAAATTTTTACAAATATTTTCAAAGTCCACTGCCTAGACACACAGTACAAAATATGAAGAAAAGCAGACGTGTAACAGACGAGGAACAATTAATTGTGTGCTACAGATTATGATTACCTGGAGGTAGGAATTGCAGTTGGTTATTAGCTAATCGGAGATGACGTAAAGCTCTCAGACGACCAATTTCTGGGCAGACAATTTCTAAGGCATTGTCACTAAGATCTAAACACTGGAGTTTTACAAGGGATCCAATGGCTTCAAAGAGAAAAGAAGAGTGGAGCAAAATTAATTTGACACAAGTGTTATGCAAAATCTTTAATGCAGCTACTCCAAGTTAAAATATGTTAATACTTAATATCTCTAGTTCAGTTGCTCACAAAACAGTAAAAACAAAGAAAAATAAGTTTTATGAAAGTGATAAGACCTCCACCCTGAACTGAAATATAAATACCTTAAAAAGAGAACGAGGGGAACAAAAGCATAAATAAAAATTTTAATGTGAAAAATTACTTAAATAATTCATGATATACAAGCACTTTCTTAACTAACCAAAATTCTTAATATTTATTAAATTTAGAATTCATCATTTTATTATTTACCTAAAAACAATTTAGTAATAATTTAACCTGTTACAAACATTTTAGACTTAATCGCAACTTTAAAAGAACTTAGTAATTGGGATAAGGGAGACTTTGAAACTAATAAAGATAAAATGTTTTATAATTAAAATTTTCTAATATACCAAACAAAATAGGGTTAAAGAGACAATCTGTTCTACTATTATAAAGCAAAGCTTAAACTATATCACCACCTAATGAAATTGGAAGCGCACTTACCTTCTGGAACCACAACTATGTTATTTGAATGAAGGTACCTGGGGGAAGAGAAGGGAGGAAAAGCAGCTGTCAACATTCAGTATTTTCCCTAGGTAATCAGTTTGTAAAATGCTCACTTAGAAATTTGTCAAATATGACCAAATTGTCTTTCAGATTCTATTCAAAGAGCATCAACATAAAATACATGGTCATCACAGCTAACAAACAATACTTTGAGAATAATTTGCTATGTTAGAACTATAAATATGAAAACCACTGATTCATTGGCTATTTAAAATAAAAGCGTGTACAATAGAGAAATCTGGATTATTTAATAATATTCTATTATCTAATTTTAGCTTTTGTGATTTGGACACTTTAAGTACATTTTTGTATGTAGAACTTGAGTTTGGTTTTTTTTTCCCAACCTCATAAAACAAATCCTTAGCTTCTCTAGTTCACTGAGATTAAATATTCACCATTACATTTTCTCTAGAAATGCTCAACTGTCAAGGTAAGTATTGATTTCACAGCAAAAGGAATTTTGTAAACAGAAGTCAAATTCTTTTCTTGAAAAAAAAAAAAGTTTCTAGCTGACAAGTCCAGGCAAGCCTAAGTAAATAATACTTTTCTCACCAAAGTATCTTTAGCACACTCTGGTGGAAACTACGCAAGCAGCAGCAGCCAACTATTTAAAGCAAAGCAATAGTGACCGCTAGAGATCATAGAGAAACAATTTTTTAAATAAATTCATATTACTCATTTGAGACAAGAGGGATAGATATTGATAAGCTATTTTCAAACCCACTGTTTTACTTCTTGCACCTCATAAATCAATCTTCATGAAGTATTTTTAAAAAAAACACAATTTTGAAATTTTCTAACATCAAATGTTAAAACGTCACTGACACAGAATAAGATAGAAAATTAATAAATTTAATAATATTATTCAGTACTAGATTAAACCAATTTTATATCCAGTATTAACTTGCTGGACCTAATGCAATTTAAACAATTACACTATGTTTTATTTCTTGCTTTGTGTATATGAAATGATTCCATATTTTAAAATCAATACTCTTTAAACATTAATTTTAGGTGGGAATACCTAAGTACTTTATGAAGTGACTCTAAAAATTCTTTGTGCCTAAAGATTAAATGTAAATGTTGTGTGCACACATGTGCATACACACACACGAACAAACATGTATTTGCATTTGTTGTACAAAACCCAGAGCACCCAGAGACCAAAATAAACTGATGTTTAAAATTCCACAAACTATTTGCCTTAGCTAAAATTCTATTAAAAAGGACCTTAAAGTGTCCAAATTAAAACATGAGCTAAAGTACTATTATAACTGATATTAAAGTGTATTTTAACACAAGGAAAGTACCTATATTAAATGAAGACCCAGTATACACTACCATAGAATATCCCTAATCTATTACACAATATCAATGTTGCTCTTCTAACATATGTGCCTAAGATCATATCCAGCACCAAGTGAAAAATTGTCCCAGTTCCTAAGTTATTCTGATGTGCAACCTATGAAGTATCATCAAAATCATCACTGGTGGAGTAGTATTTGACCAGGGGTAAATGACTTAACTTCCCACTTTCCTAATCTTCAGAAACAGCTGATAACAGCACCAACTACAACACAGGGAACTTATAAGGACTAATTGACCCAATAAATGTAAAGCTCTTAGAACAGAGTCCCATGAATGCTACTATTATTGCTAATTATTCTTAGCATGAGTCATTGGTAATCATAAGTTTAGCAATTTTAAGTCACTTTTCTTTACTTAATTCTTGAACTTTCAGCGTAGCTGAAATGTTGGTGTTTTAGTATAACTAGTTTTCATTGTGTTCGTCTACTCAAATAGTGCAGAAAACCAGACATTACTGGTGGAAATGCAAGATAGTATGGCCACTTTTGGAAAATGGTTGGGCATTTTTTAAATAAAATTAAATATGGACATTTACTTAATAGTAATATACCAATATCATCTTCTTACTTTTGACAAATATACCATGGAATTATAAGACGTTAATAGGATAAACGGGTGAGAGGATTACTATTAACTCTCTGTATATGTCTTTACAACTTTTTTGTAAACATAAAACTGTTCCAAAATAAAATGGTTATTAAGATTCTCTCAAAAATTAAAGGAATTGGGGGCCTCCCCGGTGGCGCAGCGGTTGAGCGCTGGGTTGCGAAGCTGCCAGCAGCCTCTGCAGCGCCGGTTCGATCCCCGGCTGCTCCCCGGCCACCGGAGGAGGGTCCCACATGGCGCGCAGACCTCTCCTGCCGCCCGCTGCTCCCCTCAGCAGTGTACTTCGGTCCTTCTGCCTGCTCTGCTCCCTGCTCTGGCTCTGGTGAATTCTCTCACCCTCCCGCGCTTCTGACTGTACCCAGTGCATGTATAAACAAAACAAACAAATGAATAAATAAATAAAAAAAATTAAAAAAAAAATTAAAGGAATTGGGCTTTTACTTCATGACAGGATGGAATAACAGGGAGCAAATTTACACTAAGCTGTTATAAACAACAAGAAAACTGGATGGAATACATGAACCAATTACTTTCAGATATTGACAAAAGCAACTCAGACTATGTTCCCTGAAAGAAAGGAAACACATGAGATGAGCTGGAGGCAAACTGTGAGCTATGGAGTGGGACTGAGATCCAAAACAAAGTAGGGATGTCAGACTGAGTTACGGAGAAACATCAGAGTTTAGGGGAGCTGAGATGGCTGGAAGTTGCAAGACAGTGTTCTGGAGGAGATAGTGCTACAAAAAAAAATTTTTTAAATAAACCACCAAACCTTTAAAAAAAAAAAAGGGTTCGTTGATTCTTAATTGAATTCTAAAATGCATTCAAGGCAAACAGCAATTGAAAACAATCTATTGGTTATATGGTCTACAGAGTTCATCTAGGGCTAGAGGGCATGCAAGTTCTGAGCAACAAATACATCAAGTCCTCAAGATTACAAGGAACATTCAAGAAAGACTCTGGAATGGCCATGCCTTAGTAATAGGGCTAAAGTACCCCTAGAGGCTACTCTAAACCTATCCTAACAAAGTGTAAACATAGCCATGAAAGGATCAAGCTGCATATAACCACATGCCAGAAAAAGGTACAACAAAAGGAAAACAACAAAATCTAGCCATTCAGCACTAGAATTTATGAGACCCAGTAGACAACAAAAGGTATCAGACATGCCAAGAAGCAGGAAAATGTGACCAAATAGCCACAATAGAAATCAATCAATACAGATCATTAGGATGAGAGATAATGGAATTAGCAAAGGAGAACATTAAAACAGCTATAACACTACGTATAGATATTTAAATAAAAACATGAACCTTGTGAGAGAAATGTTAAGATACAGAGAACCAAACAGAACATCTAGATATCAAAAATTCAAGCAAAGTGAAAATTTCACTGGGTGGAATTAGCAGCAGATCAGAGACTTAAGAAGAAAATATGACTGACTCTGAAGATAGAAATACAATTTGTCCAAATTGAAGCACATTAAAAAAAAATGAAAAAAGTTGAACTGAGTATCAGTGATTATGGGACAGTATGAAACAGTGTAGCATGTCAGAGTTCAGCAGCCAAGGGCAGAGAAATGGACATAGAGATAAATACTGAAGGAAATCATGTAAAAATTTTTCTAAGGTTGATGAAAACTATGAAGACAAAACTACAACAAACTGAATGTCAAGGAGAAGGAAAAAGGAAGCCATAACAAAATACATTACAATCAAATCCCTGAAATCCAGTGTAAAAAAAAAAAAAAAGAGAGAGAGAAATTCTTCAAAATAGCCCATGAAGAAAGGGCACATTATGTACTGAGGAAGAAATACATGCATGAGAACAGATGTCACTTCAGAAACTATCCAAGATGTTAGGCAATGGGCATCATGAAAGTCCTCGTTGACTTTCAACAAAAAACAAAAAAACAAAAACTTGGTAACCAAATTTAGTCCCAAAAGATTGGGGGGGGGGAATATTTCAAAACTATGGAGATGAATGTAAGACAAAAAAAAAATTATAGTTTTAAAGAAAAAAGTAATAGAAGAAAACCTTTCTCAGGGCCTAGCGCTAGACAAAGAGGTCTTAGTCTTGATACTAAAAACATAATACATAAAAATAAAAACTGATAAACTGGACCTCATCAAAATATAATGATTTAGCTCTGGAAAAAATAACATAAAGAGGATGAAAAACAAGCTATACACTAGGGAAAAAATACATTTGTAAGCAAAATATTCAAGGAACTAGTTACTATAATATATAAAGAACTCTTAAAACTCAAGACAAAAAAATCCAAAATGAGTGATATACATGAATAAACATTTCACTGCAGAAAAGATATAGATGACAAATAAGTGACTAAAAAGATGTTCAATATCGTGAGTCAGGAGAGAAATACAAATTAAAACAAAACTACACAAATGACAAAAATTGAAAATAACACCACCAAATGCTGGCAAGAAATGGAGAAATAGGAAGAATCAATGCTGGGGGAAGAATATAAAATGTTAGTCAACCTGGAAAATTACTTGGCATTTTCCGATAAAACTACAGATTTAGAGCAGAAGTGGCAGAGTAAAAACCTGCCAAAAATTCTCTTTTCCATAAAACCAACATAGAGACAAAAATTGCCAGAAGCTATATGTATAGAACTCAGGAAATTAACCAAAACCTTGCAGTAATACAGGAAGGGTTTAATTAAGAAAAAGGCAAAAATCTCAGTGGAATAATGAAATATCAACTTGGCACATTTTCACTTGCTCCATGCCTATGCCTCATTCTCTAGTTCTGCTGGCCCTGGAAAACCAAAAGCTCACAAGCAAAGTGAAAATTAGCAGCCTGCCTAGTACCTAAAGAGGCAGAATCAGTTTGGAGCTCATTCCCAAGGAACTGCCACTATTGAGTTAAGTCATGGTTCACTGGAAGACCCCACTTGTAGGCTGTTTTTCATTTTATTTGGCCAAAAGCTTGCCCAGCACAAAAATCTTTTCCCCATCTGAAACAAATTACAGGA